GTGACGTGCCAGGCCCTCGGTGCTTCCTTGAGACCGTAGAGAGCTTTCAAGAGCATCCACACCATGCCGGGCTTCTCGTATCCTTCAGGGCAGTTCATGAAGACAGGTCGGTCTAGAGGGGAGTTGAGGAACGCCACATCAACATCGCATTGATATAGCGACCTACCAGCTAAGAGAACCAAGACAAGGAAGACACGCATAGCGACTTGTGACAGTGTGGGTGAGAAGGTCTGTGTGACTTCCTTTGGGTCGTGTGCGTATCCCTTGATCACGATACGTGCCTTGAACTTGTCAGGCTTGCGAGTGAAGACCCACTTGCTGGGCAGTATCTTCCCCGTTGCTTGTGATCTTGGTACGTACATATAGACACCTTTCTCATCCATCGATATCATTTCTTTGTCGCTTGCTTTCTGCCATTCCTTTCTGTCTTTGCAGGTCATGGCCTCTTTGTGCGTTCGCGGCTCGTCTCCAATGAAGAGATACACACCGTCATCATCATCTGTCACGTAGGCAACCACTCTCTCGTTGGTTTTGCCAGACAGAAAGCACATGTCTGTGCTTTTGCGTCTTTGTTTGCGTGCAGGCCCACGGGCGTATTGAGTGGTTCATGTTTCGACCGCATCCTCAACAACACCGAAGAGGCACCAGATACGCTCTTTGAGCACCGATCTTTCTGCCGGTTCGCTCTCGGCGTCCGCATGGGCAGATATGAAGTCGCGTCCAATTTGTGTGTTCCATTGGCGCTTACGACCAGATCTACGAAGACTTTGTGGCTCTTTGTTGATTGGATTTCCTTCCACATCAACGGCCAAGTCGTCATCTTATTGCCCAGCCTCTTGTTTGTGGTCTGTCGCATCATTCTGACCCTTGTGCATGTCCTCATCGTGCGCCTGACCGTTCCATCTGCTCACTCTCATGGGGATTTGGTGCTTGATCGAGTCCGTGCTCGTCAGCTCCCTGCATGAGTGGCCCTTCGGGGGCTAGTTGTGGCAGTGGCGGTGCGTCAAAGGCGTCTTCATCGATGGGCTGCTGGTCTGCGTCTTGCGCTTCTTGGGCGTCTGGCGCTCCTTGAGCGTCCTGCCCATGTGTGTCGCCATTTCCTTCCCCCTCTCGAAGCGGTAGGAAGTATGGATTGACACCCTTCTGTACATTGAACATATGTTCAAAGAAGGTGGCTGTGTTTGTGACCTTTGTTTGTCTTCTAGACGGTATCCAGAAGAGGTATCCGTCCTTCATTTGTGGATGATAGCCAACGAAGATCGCTGCGTCGCACTTGGGACTGAACTTCGTGGCTCGTTCATGCTTCCGCACAAACGGGTAGGCTAAACATCCAAACACACGCAGTTTGCGTAGGTCAGGTTTGAAGTTCTTCCACATCTCATATGGTGTTTTGTTCCCTTTGTTGCTTCTGCAGGGACACCGATTGCGCACACAGGCGGCTGCTTGCACAGCCCACGGCCAGAAGCCCCCCGGCAGATTCGCCGTTGCGAGCATCGATGTTGCCGTGTTGTTCAGCGTTTGTATCATCCTCTCAGCCACGCCATTCTGCTCATGGACGTGCGGGACGCTGAACGATTTGGCGATTCCGAACTGGGCGGCTGCATGGAGCAGATTGCCTTCAGCCAGCTCTTTGGCTCCGTCACATCTCAGCCCTTCGATGTGTCCGACCTCCGCGATGTATCTCTTGAGGCCTGTGCCTGCATCGCGTCGACGCTTGAGAGGTATCACAGACACACGACGTGAGCAATCGTCCACGAAGACCATATAGTATTGATGGCCATCGAGAACCGATCGTCGATGTGGTCCGGAGATATCGCAATGCACCAGTTGACGCTTGCGTGTCGCCCTTGTGCCTGGTTCATTGTGTGGATTCTCTGTCATTTTACCCTTCAGGCACCCAACGCATTTGCAGTCGGATGGAGGGATGTCGAACACATGCAGTCCTTCACCGAGGTCTTTTCTGAGTAGATCCATGTCACGGCGATTGAGGTGTGCTAGTCGCTTGTGTTGCAGCCAGAATGTTGGATCTCCCTCCTCGGGTGGAACAGGTATCTGCACATCAGACTGCACAGGAGATGCAAACGGATCATGGCCGATGTGTTGCTTTGTTTGTCCTGCAGGATGGCCATTGTGTGTTTGTGGATCGTCTGGCGTGTGTCGATCCGATTCGTCCGTCGAGCAAGAGGGACCAGCAGCATCGGGCTGATCTGAAGCCTCGACAACACCAGCAGGTTGCCCTTGACTCAGCAGATCCGCGGCAGGCTGGTGGGAGTCTGGAATGCGTCCAAGAGTCGGTACACCTGTTACTGAATCTCTTGCCGCACACCTGACAGTCATGCATTGTGTGTGGTTGCCAGAGATCAATCGTTCCTTTCTTTGTGTGCAGGAAACGTTGGTCTGTAGGCGGTTTCACATGGGGAGCATTGCAGTGGCAACAAGTCACCTCAGCCCGCCCTGGGCTGTCCTGACCCCGACCTGGGGCATCGGTGCGACCAGCACCGAAACCTCTCGAGAATGTGAAACCGAGAAAGGTGGAACCTGACCGGTCAGCACACCACTTCGAGAAATAGGAACGGCACTTGCTGACTGCATTTATGATGCCTGTCATTGACTTCCCATTCGTTTCTTCCTTCTCCTTACACACAGGATAGGTAGCGTCTTGCGGCCTGGCCGCGTGAGCAGCTGCAGGCGCCTCTCGTGTGGTGCATTCGTTGGTCGCCCTGTCCGCGTGAGCAGCAGGTGACACACCAAGCATGTAGAGCCTCCCCTTCCGCACAAATGAATGTGTGTATGGTTCTTTGTACACAGTGCGGCTATCCATGCGTGTATTGTATCCTTCGTCCTCGAGTGCGCTGACTGAGAGCAAATTGTACTTCAGGTCAGGCACATACAGACAATTCGTCAATCGCACTATGTGCGTCTTTGGCATCGTGCCCTTGTACAGGCGTTTTGTCCTGTTTGTTGGCTTCAGGTTGACCCTAAGGGCCACCTCGCCCTCGCCCTCTATAGCCACCTTTGCCCCGTTGGCCACCTTGAGTTGGCTGGTTGCTGGTGGGAGCGGCCTGAGGTGCACAAAGAAATCAGGAGAAGTGAAGACATGCCAGCTGCAGCCTGAGTCAAGCAGTGCCTCATCATGTATATGAAGAGCATCGACAGCGTCAGCGTGAGCATCAGCTGCGACATTGCACTGCACAACTGAGGGAATCCTAGCTACAGCTGTGGGCATTCTGATGTCCTGAGCCACGTTAGGCTGATCAGGCCTATCGAACCCATTCCCATCAGCGCTGTGTGCTGCTCTTGCTCGCTTCTCGCTATCCTCACTCATTTGGTGGGTGCGATGCACATCTCTGTCTGTTCCAGTGGTGCCTTTGGCACTCACCTTGCTGTGTTTCTTGCCGATGGTGTGTTTGTTTCCCTTCTTAGGTCCACCACCATGGCCACGGCCGTTGCCGTTTGGTCCGCCCCGCCCTCTGGATGACCCTTGACCGCCTCTGCCACGGCCTCTGTGGGCTCTATTGGCTCGTACAGCATCCCGAGCTATGCCCAGGTGCCAGCACTCCTTAGTCGAGTGATTCGACATGCCACATATGTCGCATTTGGTGGAGTTGCTGTTGGTCATCACCTCATCGAGGGTCATTGCAGAGTGAGCGACAGGGGGCGCGACAGACTCGCCATTGTTGGTCATGACTGTGTCATGCTTTGCGCCGGCAGCTGAGCTGCTCGCGTGCGTATTCTGTGCAGACCTTGGCAGGTTCTGGTCACAGTGGTTGCGCAGCAACTGCTGAAAAGCAGCGAAGTTGTTGTTTGCTTCGTGTTGTTGCTGCAGGTTGAGGAAGGCCAATGGTTGTTGGTATGCCTACTTGGGCAGGATGGCCTTGACGGCGGCTATTTTGTCGGTTTCGTCCAAGCCATACACCAGCTTTTTGTGCTGTTCGTCGGTCTTGGCGCGCTGAGCCTCGAGAGACTTCAGCTCTTCGAACTTGCCGATCATGTAGCCGAGGTTTGGCTCGAGGTTTGACGCATCGCCCTTCCACTGGTACGTGCGGATGAGGGTGTGCAGTTTCGACAACTCAGAGGGTGACACCTGGTTGTACTTAGACATCAGAGCTCGCCAAGACAGCCATCCATCAACCTTTAACAGTGGGTCTTTGTCTTCTGCTGCTGCCTCTATCTGTGCGTTTTTCACCAGATTGAAGGCAGTGTCGTTACCCTTGCAGGCCGACAAGAGCTCAGCGTGAAGGAGATGACGCTTGTGGATCTCGTCCTTCTGTTGGTGCTTCAGCAGATCCCACTCTGTATTCTGTTGACTGTAGGTATCAGTCCACTTGCCGTTGTCGTCGTATTGTGGTACAGGCATGGGGCCGACCACTGTCAGCTGGGGTCTCTCGTGGAGTGCCTCGTCAGCCACGACCTCAGCCAACCCATTGATCGACGCCCACGACTCAAAGTGCGTCTTCCACTTCTGGAAGTCATCCCCGTAAGCCTTGAACTAACTAGGAAATGCCCATGGACGTATCTTTGAGCTAGTGTCGTCGCTTCCGCCTTCATTGCGACACACCCAACGACCAACCAGCAAGGTAGGGATGCCTGTGAGCACGAGCAGCTTGACAAAGAAATCGAGTGTGTGTCTGCATCCCTTGTGTGTCAGGTTGGCTGGTGAGATTGGCAGTGCGTGCACTCGTGGCAGCATCATGCACACGATGAGCAAGAGTAGTCCAGTGTAGCGCAGACTCG